GCTGCTCTTATCCTTCATCATTCAGAGCCCCCCTCCCCTGGTGGATGCTGGGATTTAGAGAAAAAGAGCAAGAGGAAATCAGGGGAATATCTGACTGAAGTGGGCCTGCATTGGATCCTTTGAACTCAGAGAGTGGTGAGTCTCTGGCTAAGCTGCTATAAAAACACAATAACAACGAACACTGGTCAAAAATGATGAAAGTATATGGCACCAGGTTCTCAAAATATCATAATACATTCGAAATATCTTGAGGTTACATCAAGCATGAAGGCATTTTTCCCCAAGCATTTAGGGTTCAGTCAACTCTGAAACCAGCAAAAGCTTTCTGACCTCTGATGCTTACTGTAACACATCCATCAACACACCCATCATGTATATTAGTTTAATTACTAATTAAAACTAACTAACTAATAAACACACAAGTTAACACTATGTGAATAGATCATTGTGCAACAGGTAGCCAGTTCTTTTCTCCAGTATTTTTAATATATTTGTCATTAGCATCAGAATTTTCAGTAATTTAGATAAAACAACAATTTAGATGCATTTAACTTGTCAACTCTACTTTACACAGTGTATTTTGAAGGCCAACATTTCTGCTATTTGAATATTCTATTACTTTATCTTTATTGGTGTTGTGCACGTTGTTAAGTCTCTCTGAGATAGAGCTAAAGGGTTAAAATGGGAATGTAAATAAGCCATTTGGCTTAAGCTGAAGGACAAATGCTCGATCTCATTTCCAAGAATGGGACAAGAGTGTCCCAACTTTACCCAGATTTACTGTAAATGTCAGGGTACTCATTTAACACAGGCTACATAACTGTTAACATATACTGCATATAAATGTCTTCTAAGAGCTTCTAAATGTCAAAACCAAGTGTCTCATAATCATTCAGCTCATAAGCTGCTTATTGGACTTTCCAATTCCACCACTCACAGAGTACTTCACAGAACAAGATGACAGTGAGTGAGAAACTGCAGTGTTTTTAAAGAGAAAAGTCTCATTATTTGCCTGCATCATGCAGACCTTCACTTCCATCCTTTCACTTTATGATGTTGATGTGACAGCTGTATGTAACACAATGAGAATTTGTTTTTTTAAGAATGGCAATAACAACAAGCTGTAAATGTAATCATTTCTGAGCCTTAAATCTCCATAAGGGACTGTGGGCTCCTAGACTTTCACTCACATTACTAAAACACTCCATAACCAACCTAAATCCAGATAATTCTAAGAACATCTTTTATCCCTAATATTAAAGCATGAGGTACAGTGCAATTGTAGATATAAATGAGAAGCAAAACTCAAAATAACATTTTAATGTAAGCACATTTCCTCATAAAAAGGGGGTGTCATTGCTTGGATTCCGATTGTGAGTTAAAAGACTATTTTAATGTAATGTTTTGCAGGTTGTCTTTGCTTTAGTTGTTTCCTCTTCATAATTATCTCTTTGTGTATTTATTTATCAAGCATTTGTCTTGCAATGACCAAAAGAAAAAAGGCTGGAGGTTTTGGACCTGAAAATCACTGCATTTTCTTTAAGTCTTGTGCTGTTAATGATCTCTTACTGAAAAAATAGATGTTGCGATACAATAATTTAGTGTTTCATTCAAAAGATAAGTAAGGTTCAGGAAAAAGACCAAGCCTAACTCATTAATCCTATCACATGCGCCTCACTAATTAAACCACCTGTGCTTCTCTAATTCAACCACCTGGGCCTACCTATCAGAATCAGAACCACAATCAGTTTTATTGCCAAGTAGGTTTTCACATACAAGGAAGTTGCCTTGGTATATTGTTGCATAACAATATGAGAAAAATATAAAGATGTAGTAGAGACAAAAAAAAGAGACAATATATACAAATACAAAAAGACAACATGTACAATTTGACTATTTAAATAAATTAATGAAGACCTGTACAGTTGTGCAAGTTGGCAGTATGAAGCATAAAGGATATTTGCAATGTGCAAGATATAATCCAAGAGACGTGCATTGATGTAACACATAGATTTGATTAGAGATTGGTGGGTATAGGAGTCGGAGTCAGTGGAGGTCCCAGGCCTTGTTGATGAGGCCAGCTGCAGATTGGAAAAAGCCTTGGGGTCCTGGAGGCGTACAGGTCCTGGGGGGATGGCAGATTGCAGCCGATCACCTTCTCAGATGAGCAAGTGATACGCTGCAGTCTGTCCTTGTCCTTGGCAGTGGCAGCAGCGTACCAGATAGGATAGAGGAGGTGAGGATTGACTCAGTGATGGCGTTGTAGAAGTGCATCATCATCGTCTTTGGCAGGTTGAACTTCTTCAGCCACAGAAAGTAGATCTTGTGTTATGATGGTGCCCAGGAAGTGGAAGGACTTTGCACCGTCACACACCAGGTGATGGGTGTGGGTGGGGCTTTCTGGAGTCCATAACCATCTTCACTGCCTTTAGAGGGTTGAGCTCCAGGTGGTTCTGGCTGCACCAGGTCACCAAATGGTCAATCTCTCGCCCGTAGGCGGACTCATCTCCACCAGAGATTAACCCAATGAGGAGGTGTGTATAGAAGTGTTTCTAACCCCTCTCTCCTGTTTGACTCAGTTCTCACAAGCCTCCTCCACAAACCCAGTTCTTCTCTCTTCCTTCTCAGTGGGCAGCATAGTGGCTCAGCAGTAAGCACTGTGGCCTCACAGCATGAAGGTCCCCGGTTTGAACACTCTGCTATCCCAGGTCCCTCCCATGTGGAGTTTGCATGTGTTCTCTGTTTGCATTGGTGCTCCAGTTCCTCCCACCATCAAAGACAAGTGTGTTAGGGTTAATACTTCCATCTAAGTAACTTTTCTTCACACCCTGAGTCTTGACCCCCGGGTTCCTAGCAGCCATATCATGACTTTAATCGGCTCCCCAATGCAATCGATGCCCTTTCATCCCTCTCCTCAACCCCTTTCATCCCTTCCCTGGACCGCACTATGGCATGGTCTTTGTTATCGAGTCTGTCAAACGTACCAGTCATCACAATGCTGAAAAATAAATGGGGCCACCTGTGAGTTTCCCATTTTATTTTTTGTAAACATCCACTCTTAGCTTATGTTGATCCCATAGATGTTCATGCATATGCAGTCACAGCTGAATGCAAATAAATTCTTTTCACAAGTGGCCTTGGAGCACTTCATCTTATCTTGTCTCACTCTGTATCTGTCACAAAACACTGAATAGTGGAGATTACTACTGCAGACCAGAAACAAATATCACCACTAAATCACAATCAAACTAATTCACTCTGAAGCAACTGCTACTGTGAATGACAAACCAATAACTAATAACTACTTTTATATACTGTGCATATAGGTTACTGTATTTGTAAGCAAAACATCTACTGCTACTGGGAATGCACCATTACATCTCAATAAACTTACCAGTAATTACCATGTTTGTGTCCCCTCAAGAAAGGTAGAGAGTAATCCTACCCAAAAAACAAATTTACCATAACTGGCTCGGAGTCATCCATTTATACAGTATATTGTATATGACATGACATGCACAGATAAAGTGATCCAAGATGCATTCAAGCACTAGAACAACAACCAAGTTGTATTTTTACAGTCCCAGTGAAATCAAGAGAAAAAAATATTAGCCTCTGATGTAGTAGGTGTTTTTTTTTAAGTTAAACTAAAATTTCAGCACCTTGAACAGTTCCTCAGTCCGCAGTGTTTACCTGCTTCATTAATTAAATCTCACAGGCCTGCTGGAACAATCCTGATTTGTGTATTTTGAAAACACCACCAGACACCAAAACACTGAGGCATTCATGAAGAGCAAGCTCCATCCAATTAATGTTTCAAACTTTTTGCTCCACACATTGTGGTGAAAACATTAACAGTATTTCATAAATAAAGCTTTTAGATGTCTCTTAAGTCCACACTGCAGCAAACACAACATGCAAAGTAATGTTTATAACTTCTTTGTGTTTAACCTGTTTTATTTTTAATGAGCCCTGACTCTGGACCACAAACAGGAAATAAAAAGAAACACTGCAGTAGGCTCATAACCCATAAGGTTTAGCTTTCCTGGAGGAAACTGGGTAACAAAGCAATCCGGAGTCATTAAAATAGCATAGTAAAATATATATAAATATAAACCTTCCTTGCAGGGGCAGTGGGTTTTTGCAGCGTAGCAGGTCAAAACGAATACAGAATTGAGAAAGGAAACAAGGCTTTTCTTCTGAATCCTGTTCCTGACGAAATTAAACCTGATAATACTTTCCAAAAGTGCAAGCAATACAAAAGAGAATTGTGATGTCAGCCAGAATAGTTAGAATATGAACTACTGAGCTGAACCACATAGAAAGGATATGTGTTGTCCTGCTCACCACAGACACTGAAACGGGCACCAAAGCTTTAGTGAAACAGCAGACACACTCCCCGTCACAGAACTCCACACATCCAGACACACATTATGCAAAGAGAGGGGGGAAAAAGGAGAAACAAGAGTGTTACCAAAGCGAACAAAGCCCAGAGAAAGCCAAAGCAGAGTCGCAGATTAAATATTTAAACACATATCTTTATACCCCCCCTCCCCCCCCTCCAAAAATAAAAAATAAAAAATGAACGCCCTAGTTATGTGGCCTATTTATGAAATGTGTTTTCACTAAAAACAGCGTTTCATGTGGCCTGCCTCTGTCCATGGTGCTTAAAAAGAAAGAAAGAAGAAAAAACGCGCACTTACACCCTCAGCGGGTCTCTTCAGGCGCACACACAGCGCCGATTGTACGTGTCTTAATTGTGTTTGTCGCGGTGGACACGAGCTTGAATAACCACAACAGAGACGCGTGACTAAAATGAAATTTGTGTTTGTACACCCAGAACAGCGCTTTGACACGCGGCTCCCGAAAATCCTGCTTGCGCTCTGCTGGCGTGAACATGAAAAAAATCCCCCCGCTGAAAATCAATGACACGGTTAGTGCGTACTGGAGAGAGAGGGAGAGAGAGAGAGAGAGAGGAGAGAGAGAGAGAGAGAAGAGAGAGAGAGGAGGCGGTGTCTGGTGACCGAGGAGGAGGAGGAGAAAGCTCCCGGTCCGCGCGTCCTCTCAGCTCCCTTTTTTCTGCCGTCAATCCTACAAGCAGTCGGGTACCACCGGAGTGCCCGGGGCTGTGGACTTATTTTTTCCCCCGGGAATCGGAAGTGGACGCAAACAAAACTATCCCAGGTAGGTGAAGCGGCGCTGCCTCGGTGCGGCTCATATCAAACAAGTAGAAACTGGTGAAACGAAAAAGTCAGTAGTTGCCCGTTTGTCTGCACTTTCGTGGCGCTGAGGAAGGATGGATGGAGAAAGCGGATGAAAGCCAAGACAAAGCTCCGTGGGGGCGGCAATTGTGTTGACGCCGCTAATTGCTTTTTAAATTGGCGGAGATGGTGGTGGGGGGGAGGAGCTCGCGAGCTAATCGTTACGCGGTGCCCCATCTGCCGCGGTGACAACTCTCCAATGTTTCTAATCCGATTAGATGAAGGATCAGCCATTTGATAAAAAAAAATTAAATAAAAAATTCGTTTATCTGGTTCTTTCTGCTCCGTTGTGACACTCTGACCCACCGTGCGTCACAATGGGAGAGTTGTGTGTTCTGTAAAGTGCACAACCTCACTTCACTCTGTCCCTGGCACACTTTGCTGCATTCTCCTCTCCTCTGGGCTCTCTGTTTTTCTCACCCCCCATCTTTTGTCTCATATTTTTTCTCCCTGTCTTTTGCTTTCAGAAGATGTTCTTCTTTCTGCTACCTGTCGTGGCTCTCTTGCTGAGCAGAGAAACGGCGGTCTCCGGTAACAGTAACGACAAATGGCTGAGCACCGTGGCTCAGTACAACAAGGACAGATCCTGGAACAGATTCAGAGATGTGAGTTGCACTGAGAGACACAACATCTAGCCAAAGGGGGTCTCATAATTAGCTTAATTGTGTGTGTGTGTGTGTGTGTGTGTGTGTGTGTGTGTGTGTGTGTGTGAGTGAGAGAGAGTGTGTGTTGTGTGTGTGTGTGTGTGTGTGTGTGTAGAAGAAAGAGGGGGAACGCACTCCGCCCTTGATACACCCTGTGAGTACTTGAGCACTTGCCAGCAGGCATAATCCACCTTGTAGAGACTCAGCAGGTCCAAACCCTGGTTGAGAGAGAAGCAGACTCATAGAGAGACAACATTAGAGTTCAGCACATTGCGGAAAAACAACCTTTATAGCTAAGAATTTGATTGACTGAAGGATTTCCTATCCAAATTTACTTTTTACTTGCCAATGTTGATATTTCATCATTTCATTCAGTTTCTTTGGGCTTTTAGAACTGGTGATCAGTCGATCAGCATCAGGAGAAGTGAGTCTGTGACTTATTATGTGCAGCTTTAGTCCAGTGGCATTTCATACAATGCTTTATGTGTGGTCTTTCTGTCTTTATTTTTATGATTTCTCTGAAAAGGAAGGACACAGTGCCTGTTATTTATATAGTCTATATACAGTAGGAGCTAGTGCACCTTTGTGAAGGGGTTTGTGTGTAGTTCAGATGTACATTCTAAATCCAAAATAGAGAATTATCAAGGCTTGTTTCTTCAGGGATATTAGCTTTTCAGAAGCCAGTTTAGCTCTACAGCTGACTGTAGGCCAGCTGACTCAGTGTGCTCAGTGTGTATAAACCACCATGATTGCCGGTGATTTGGGTCATGGTTTGAAACTGCTTGCTCTTAAACTTTGACTCCAGAAGGACCCAGTGAATATAGTAGGTGCTCCACATAGAGAGGCTGAAAGTCACTTTGAAGTCAAAGCACGATTCTCAAGTGCTATCTGCAGTGACACCAACATGTAGGTCTAATTCTTGTAAAAAAAAAAAAAAAAAAAAAGGAACTAAAGCATCTGCTCAGCCAGTTTCTGTGCAGACATATTGTTCAAACTCGAATTTCGGCTGGTGATTCTCAACATTTCAATGATGCCAAATATCAGGCAGGGAAATGTGTATAAGATGATGCACAAGACATAGAGAGAGAACCAACATCCAACATGTCATGAACAATATTGGTCTTGTACATTTCCAAAACATGCTTTCCTGGTTGGACAGTGCATTACCTCCACCTGCCATCTGCTGGTGACTCCTAACTGGGTTTGGATACCTCTCAAGCTCTTGGAAATGTCCGGCCTAAACTGCAGAATGTCAACAATGATAAACTAACTCTCCAGTCTAACAAGTCTCCATCAGGTTGACTGTGCCAGAAGAGTAACCATTTCCTTTCCACTCCGATACCATACTCTTAACATTATGATGTCCTTTGCTGCCTGCTAACATGTTCTCCAGAGATTTCAGTGGACAGTGGGCTAACTTTGGCCTTATTAGAGCTGGCCTTCCCCATACAGTATTGTAGTGGTGATGTGAGCTTGTATTAGTCATGTCTGTATACACTCAGCCAAGGCTCAGCTGCCTGCAGTGTGTGTGTGTGTGTGTGTGTGTGTGTGTGTGTGTGTGTGTGTGTGTGTGTGTGTGTGCGCGCTGCCCACTGTTTATTTCTCGCTGTGGTCTCCTGTGCGAATGAAACTCATTAACAGGAAGCTGTCAGTGGAGGGGGTGGAGGACAGGGGGCATAGAGGTGGGAGGTGGGAGGGAAAGGAGGGGAGATGAGGAGCAATGGATAGGGGAAAAGGCTGTGACATTTATGTTTCATATTTCAAGCAATGCTACCAACCAAATGCAGGAGCTGCTGTTGTGTTTATGTGTGTGCACGTATTGTCTACCCTATCACACAGGGAAACCTGCTGGTCGTAATTTGTCTCCTGCAACATTGGCTGTCTTTTGTCCCACTGTGTCCTCTTTCCTCCTCCATTCTTTGTTAGTCATTTCTCTCCTCCCGTCTCTGGCACCAAACCTTTTAATATCACAGACAGCAAGACCTTAGATTAGGGAAATGTGGTTCTAAATAAATGAATTTCAAACTGCAAAACAACCATACTACTAAATTTGAAGGTGGAGGAAAGCCTTAAGGTACTATAGTTGTGACTGTGATGTGCTCAGTGGTCCCTTTTACACTGTGCAAGTTTTGCCTGTCTCAGATGACTGTTGTGCTGAAATCACTGGTCGTCAATCATAATAGGTGGTCTTAAATCATACTGTGTAACACGACCATGAAGGCGTGTTTAGCTTAGCTTTGCTGAACAGGCTGCTTCAAAGTTCTGAAAATGTAGGACTGAAATGTGAATGATGCCACGACCCACGTTTACAAACTGGCTAATCAGAATATGACTTGAAATTACACACATTACATTAGCGAACTAGCATAATATTTACCTTCATTCTCTCGCCACGGCTGCGTTTCTCTTCCTCCTCATCTTTTTAGGTTTTTAAAGTGCCAGTGTTACAGCACACATGTTCAGGATGTAAATGATAACAAAGGATTCAAATCTGGTGGCCAGTGATGGCATCAGATTAACATAATTTCATAGTAAATGGAGATTAACGTCACCTGGAAAACAGACGGAGCTCACTTGATACTCAAGTGAAAAAAGGACGGAAACAAGAAGACATTTTAGTATTTTCTGTCACTCAGTCAATCTCACCCCCTCCTCTCAATTCTCATTGAGTCATGAACTCCACATTTTTCTTCCACGCTTCTCTCTTTCCTTTTTTTTTTTCTTCCTCTGTCTCTGGAGCGGTGAATGACCCTGTGCTTCCTCAACCATAGCTCTCTCTATCTCCCCCCACCCTCTCCCTCTGCCCTCACCCATGACTCCTCCTCTCCGCTGTTCTCCTCTGCCTGCCATGTTTCACTCTGCATCCCTGATGAGCCACTTGCTCCCTCCTGCATAATGTATGAGCGTCCATTTGTTGGCAGGGGAGCTGGTGCAATAGTTTAACAGTCAAAGTTCAGGTGGCTTATCTTGGAAACATAAGGAAAATGGGATGTGATTTATTATTTTGCAGAGTCACACTCCTAATAACTGGACTGTAATGTGTTGTAAGATAAGTGTAATGCAGACGGAGACACTTTTATTCTAGTCCATTTCTACTGAGAAGGGACATGCAATAGAAATGGAAATAAAATGTCCCTCATTACCATCACATTGTGTCATGTTCAAAAAAAATGTTTCTTCAGTCAAAACAAAACCATTTGTCTGTGTTACTTGCTTGTAGAGCTGATGCAGACATTCATTTCAGATGGTTTGTAGAAACAAAAGGACGTATGTGTGGAATAAATGACACACTGCATTGGCTTCAGACTGAGGTTTGTAAGCAGCTTTGCCAGCTGAGCTAGACTAATAAACCTTTTTCACAGCAGCCATTTGGCGTGAAATAGTAGGATAAACACAGGTGTAACCAATGATATTGATTAAGGTTCTGTTCCATTCAGGTCAAACAGTCAGGGTGCTGCTGTTGTACACGTTGCCTCACTGGAGAGGCTCTGCTACACTAAATGTAACGCACCTTAATTAGCATCATTGGTAATACCCGTGTTTACCATATCTCATGTCAAAATGGCTGCTGTGAAAAAGGTCTGTTCTCCACCATTCTCTAACTGTCTGGATTTGGTCTATAACATGATTAGCTGTCTCATGGAAAAGTGGATTTATTTTATTTTTCTAGTGCAGTGTTTACTGTATGTCATATGGATGGTTTGGAGCTTGTTACCTAAATGTTTTCGACCAATTAAATCTTTTATAATCCTTAAATTCGCTTAACCACCTTTGTTGCTCTTTTGCCAAATCACTTGTTGTTGTAATTAATGCCAACAGTATTTCCATTTCTTTCCACATCCTTAGGTTACAATTACCACTTTAATTTTTCTGAGCTTTTATGCAAATAAAGTATAGCTGCAGTGAATACACACACATTTGTATGCAGCGCTGAGTTCAAGTGTGTTTCTGTTTCAGGCAGGGGCAAGCCTGCAACTGCCTTGTGTTGTTGGCTACATCAAAGTATTCTGGTGAGGACAAAAATAAATACGAGGGGTCCAGCTGGAACAGTGGTAGACACAGCAGCAGTAGTAACAGAAGATCTCAATACCAAATCCAAATCTGGTTGCACCAGCTCGCCGGGCTGAAGCCATCTTGCGTGAATGTGTAACCATCTCTTTATGCTAATGCGCAATACATTGCAAATAATATACATAATGCATTTGTGAGACATTCATGCTCTTCAGCGCTCCTCAGACAGATTTACAGTCAATATATCTATCTAGTATAGTGAATCTGAGGAGAGGTGTTCTGACAGTAATAGACATAATTTTAGCTAATAATTATAGTCCTTGACTCTATGCCCAATTACTTCACCTTGTTCACTTTATGTGTCGGAACTGCTGACCTCAATCTTATGTGGTCTCTGCAGTGAAAGGAGGAAATACTTTATAATTATAATTTATAACAAACCTATTTTTTTTTTTAACATGGTAGAGTTTATTGAAAGGCAAAGTCATAAGATTGATATATTATTTAACACTGAATAATAACAGTTTGAAAGCTCCTGGTGTAATTGCTTTTTATAGAGTAGTGATGTCTGCTAATACACATTATGGTCTATTGCTGCGCTGGCCGGTTCAGGCCAGCTATTTTGGCATGAGTGAGCCTATTATTGGTGGATTTAAGTGGTGAAGGGAAATTATTGGGTGGTTTGTGAAGTAAAGGCACAGTAAGTGATGGAGAGTCAGTGTGTGATCATAAAGACTGCTGGAAATGTCCTGAGTCTGATAAAACATCTGAGATCTCAGCCATGTGTGGGTACATAGACACTGATCCACACACTTGATTCATCTCAGCTCGTCCGGTGTTTTCTGAACTGAAAGGCACTGAAAGTCGGTGTAATGGTATTGAAAAAGGTGTCGTTTTGGTAATTGGTAATCATATCAGTACTAGTATCTAAACATTTCAAACACACTCAG